ACATAAAACCTGGCTCTGAGCTTCTTGGAAGCCAATAAAAAGTAAATGTGCCAACTTACATACCTCATATCTACAGGAAAAAAGTTCCAGTTGCTATGTGTGACTAAAGGTTTTCCTAGTACCAAAGTTGAAGACAATTTCTTTCTTGGCAGCACTGAATAGGAGCTGTGTATTGGGTAATACTCTAAATAACAATTTCATAGAAAATACAAAAATGGAATTCATATAATTATTTCTTCTATAAATGTTGACTGTGAATAGAGAGCCTCAGATGGTAAGGCTGGTGTGTGGCCTGGGAATCAGATGGACTGTCCATCCAGGGACCTCAGAGGGAGTTTTCCTTGGTGAATTCACCAAGTCAAGGGTACATCTCTTAGAATTGCATGCTCATAAACTCCTTGCTGCTATTTCAGAGCTGAATGGGTTCACCCTTATGATGAGCCAAATGCCCATTTATTCATTTGCAGCCAAAAATCTAACCATCTATTACACTGGATGGTGGTATCCTCTGATTGGCACATCTCTTTCAGCTGAAGGAGGTGTGGTATAGTCATTGGAGCATCACCTGAGACAAGATTAGAACCCTGAGTGTGCATTTTATGAGCTGAGTGTGATAGTAGATAAATGACAACTTTCCCTAAGCCACAAATTTTTCATCTGAAATGTGGAAATAATAACACGTCTCTTACAAAGGTGTTGTGAGGAGTAAATAAAATAGTGTATATGAGTGACTTAGCATAGTGTCTGGGCATGCAATAAGTTCTTAGTACTAATTTTCATTGGTTAGACCCAGTTACAGAGGAAGCAAATTTACAGATAGGTGGTTGATGAGCAACAAGTCTTTTGGATTATTCTCCTTCACACAGTAACCAAAGTGATCTTAAAAAAAAAGTAAACTAGATCAAATTATTTCCCTGCTTAAAACTTTTCAGAGATTTCTCACTGCACTCAGAAATTCCTTGTCCTGTTCTTCCAGGCCTACATCATTAGTTGTCATCCTTGGCCACTGCGATTGGAATCTCCTGGGTAACTTTAAAAGCTAATGAGGGCTGGCCCCATGGCTTAGCGGTTAGGTGCTCACGCTCTGCTGCTGGCGACCCGGGTTTGGATCCCGGGCGTGCACCGAAGCACCACTTCTCCGGCCATGCTGAGGTCGCGTCCCACATACAGCAACTAGAAGGATGTGCAGCTGTGACATACAACTATCTACTGGGGCTTTGGGGGGAAAAATAAATAAATAAAATCTTAAAAAAAAGCAAAACAAAACAAAACTAATGATGCGTGGATTCCACCCCTTGAGATTCTGATGAAACTGGTCTGAGTGGTGACTGGGCATTGGGATTTTCATGAACCCACCAGGTGATTTAAGGGTGATATGACCTGACCCCTCCCTACTGTCCAAGGTGATTCTTACCACACCTCCTATCCTTCCTGCTCAACCATTGCGCCTCCTTTCTGAGCTGTGCTTGTGCTGAGTTCTTTCTGCCTCAGGAGGACCTAGTGCTTCCTCACTATTGAGGTACCAACCCAGATGCTACCAACCCTTCAATGTTGACATCGAATCCCACCTCTGTTATGACTCTGGCCCCTAGTCCAACCCCAGGGTTCTCTTTCATGTCAGGAATTTGGGGCTTTGGAGGGCTGAAAGTTTAACAATCAGTCTTTCATCACTGGTTGTAGTTGGAAACTCGTGTGTCTTCATACATGGATTATAAGGTTTACAGAGTTAATCTGATTTTCATAGTGAAGGTGTTTAAGTCTCAGGTATTCCAAAGTTATCCAGGCTCTTTGGAGGCCCTGATGCAGGGTGGAGCCTAGGGTGAGGTGGGTGAGGCTCTTGCCTCAGGCACAAAATTTAAGGAGTTACCAAAAAAACTCAGTAATTCAGATAAATAATATTTTAATGCAATATTTAAAAATATCAAAAATAATGCAAAAAATCTGTGATGAAAATAATCAGAATTTTAAGTAAAGACAGAATTTATTTTATGAATAAAGAAATATCAAGAGACACTGTTTTATTTTGTGGCTATAGTGTACCTGAGAGAATTTGATTCTGTGTACTTCCTTGGATTCTGAAATCAAAAGACATAGAGTGGCTGAATGGATAAAAAAAATAAGAACTCCAGATATGCTGCCTACAAGAAACTCACTTCAGCTTTAAAGACACACATAGTCTGGAACGAAGGGATAGGAAAAGATATATAAATGGTACATATCCATGGAAATGGTAACCAAAAGAGAGCAAGGGTTGTGATATTTATATCAGGCAAAATAGACTTTAATTCAAAAACAGTAATCAGAGACAAGGAAGTGTATTATATAAATATAAAGTGGTCAATTTATCAAGGGGAAATAATAATAGTAAATGTATATGCACCCAATATCAGAGCACCTACATATATAAAGCAAACATTAACAGATGTGTAGAAGAAATAGACAGCAATGCAATAACACTAGGAGACTTCAATACCCCACTTTCAACAATGGATAGATCATCCAGACAGAAAATCATTAAGAAAATATTGGACTTGAACTATACCTTAGACCAAATATACCTAACAGACATATATAGAACATTCCATCCAATAGCAGCAGAATACACTGTCTTCTCAAGTTCACACAGTACATTTCCCAGGATAGATAATATATTAGGTTACAAAACAAATATTTAAATATAAGAATATTTAATTCATACCAAATATCTTTTCTGACCACAATGATGTGAAACTGCAAATCAATAACAGGAAGAAATGTGGAAAATTCACATACGTGGAGATTAAACAACAGACTCCTGAAGAACCAATGGGTTAAAGAAGAAATAAAAAGAGAAATCAAAAAGTAACTTGAGACAAATGAAAACACATCACACCAAAAATTATGGTATTCAGCACATGCAGTTCTAAGAGGAAAATTTGTAGTGATAAACTCCTCCATTGAGAAAAAAGAAGATGTCAGATAAATGACATAACTTTATACCTCAAGGCACCAGACAAAGAAGAATAATTTAAGCCCAAAGGTAGCATAAGGAAGGAAATAACAAAGATAAGAGCAGAAATAAGTGAAATAGAGACTAGAAGGACAATAGAAAAGATGAATGAAACTAAGAGTTGATTTTTTATTTTTATTTTTTTTTATTGTGAGGAAGATTAGCCCTGAGCTAGCATCTGGTGCCAATTCTCCTCTTTTTGCTGAGGAATATTGGCCCTGGGCTAACAGCCGTGCCCATCTTCCTCTACTTTATATGATAAAGTATAAGTAGTGCACAGGTCTGCACCCAGGATCCAAACCTGTGAACCCTGGGCTGCTGAAGTGGAGTGTGCGAACTTAGCCACTATGCCACTGGGCTGGCCCCTAAGAGTTGATTTTTTGAAAAGATAAACACAATCAACCAACCTTCAGTTAGACTAACTAAGGAAAAAAGAAACAGTATTCACATAAAATCAGAAATGAAAGAGGAGATGTTACAACTAGTACCACAGAAATACACAGGATGATAAGAGATTACTTTGAACCATTGTATGTGACAAATTGGATAAGCTAGAAGAAATGGATAAATTCCTAGAGACATCCAACCCATCAAAACTGAATCATGAAGAAATATATAATCTGAACAGACCAATTACTAGTAAGGAGATTGAATTGATAATCAAAAATCTCCAACAAAAAAAAGTCCAGGACCAGATGGCTTCACTGGTGAATTCTACCAAATGCTTCAAGAATTAACACCAATCCTTCTCAAACTCTTCCAAAAAATAGAAGAGGAGGGAACACTTCCAATCTCATTTTACAAGGCCAACATCAAACTAATACCAAAGACAGACAAAGATTGTCTTCATTGCATACACCTGATGAACATCGATGCAAAAATCCTCAACAAAATACTAGCAAAATGAATTCAACAGTACATTAAAAGGATTATACAACATGATCAAGTCAGATTTATCCCTGGGCTATAAGAGTGGTTCAACATATGCAGATTAATACACGTGATATACCACATTAAAAAAATGAAGGATAAAAACCATATGATCATCTTAATAGATGCATAAAATGTATCTGACAAGTTCAACTCCCTTTCATATAAAAACTGTCAACAAATTGGGTATAGAAGGAACATACTTCAACATAATAAAGGCCATATCTGACAAACTCACAGGTAACATCGTAACTCAAGGGTGAAAAGCTAAAAACTTTTCCTCTAATATCAGGAACAAGACAAGGGTGCCCACCCTCACCACTCCTATTCAACACAGTACTGGAAGTCCTAGCCAGATCAATTAGTCAAGAAAAGGAAATAGAAGGCATCCAAATTGGAAAGGAAGACGTAAAACTGTCTCTGTTTACAGATGATATGATCTCATATACATAAAACTCTAAAGACTCTACCCCAAAACTATTAAAACTAATAAATTAATTCAGTAAACTTTTAGGATACAAAGTCAACATACCCAAATCAGTTGCATTTCTATACACTAACAGCAAACTATCCAAAAACAAATTAAGAAAGTACAGATTTTGAATACTGTGCTGATCAACAAACAAGACAGAGAAGAGAGAGAGAGAGGCTGGAAAATAGCACATAGTCTTTTTCCCTGCCTCAACCTGTAAGGGACAAATATTACTTTCACTCATATTTTATTGGCCCAAATTAGTTAAATTTGTAAGGAGACTGAGAAATATAGATGAGCAAATAGAATACGTGGAGAGTAACAATGTCTCTGCCATAATAACTTACTGTCTACATGTATAGAATTAATTTTTATAGGTGCATCCATAATTAATTTATTTTTGTAAAACTATTTTCACCTAACATTTCATCAACTATTTTAATATATTTACGTGGTCTTTATATTTATTATTTTATGACTGTACAATATTCTACTTTGTTTGCATTAGATACTTTCACAACCCACTGCTCATGCAATTTGCTTCTATACTCATTGAGTGCTTTGCATAGGCCCCTCCAGGCCCAGATCATCTGCTCAGCTTTTATAAAAGGAGCCTTTGCAATGTGAGCTGAGCTGCATCAGGCAGGCAGGGGCAGCAAGATGATGTCGCAGACACAGGTCCTTTTGTCCTTGTTGCTCTGGGTCTCAGGTGAGAAATTTAAAAGTGCCTCAGTCCTTTTGGAGTAATATCTTTCTAGAGGTAAAAAAAATAATTTTAAAGTATAATGAGAAACACTGGCTATTTCCAAAATAGATCCATTTATGTGCTGATGTGTAATACCATTGGAAAGTACATTTTAAATTACGTATTTCAATGTGTCTATGATAAATTGTGTGTATCATCATTATCCATTTGTGATTGCAGGTGCCTGTGGGGACATCGTGATGACCCAGTCTCCAGCCTCCTTGGCAGTGTCTCTAGGAGAGAGGGTCACCATTAACTGCAAGGCCAGTCAGAGTGTTAGCAGCTACTTAGCTTGGTACCAGCAAAAACCAGGACAGGCTCCTAAGCTGCTCATCTACTCAGCATCCAGCAGGGCATCTGGGGTCCCTGACAGATTCAGTGGCAGTGGATCTGGGACAGATTTCACTCTCACCATCAGCAGCCTCCAGGCTGAAGATGTGGCAGTTTATTACTGTCAGGAGCATAACAGTGCTCCTCCCACAGTGCTTCAGCCTCTAACACAAACCTCCCCAGAACCAGGGGTCAGTGAGTCTTTTCTGCACCAGCTGCTTCCTCCCCACACAGCCCTGAACATGCACATTCCTCCATCTGCCTGAGAGGTCATATCTCTTGATTTATTCCCTGGAGGGATTGTAGGTCCCAGGAGGATATTAAAAGAATTGGCTTTTTCTGGATCCCTTTTTGTGGGAAATTATGGAAGAAACGTGTTGTAAAGATCTTTTAGAGATGCTATCAAGAATTTTTGTTTCATGGGAACCTGCATGTTTCCCATGGACTGAGTCACATGATTAAGCCACTAAGGTTTGTTCTACCCTGAGAAGAAGGGTCCAGTGAATTTTACACCCTCATAGATCAATTCTGTCTTCCTGGTGTCTCCTTGATTTTGGAACATTTCTATTTTAATTCCTTATTCTCCTGGTCTCCTTTCTTTATCTGCAATCACCCTCAACTCTGGCCCATTCCAATATTAAACACTTGGCCTCTCCTATTCAAATCCTTCCACACAGAGGTAGTATCCTGCTCTTGCTTTTTCCTTCCATGGACCTATTTTCCAGCCAAGTATTTCTGGTCCATATCACCGAAGTTTCTTTCCTACTCTACCTCCTTTTGTACCACCCTTTTATCTTCTCTCCATTTCCTCTAGTCATACTCATCCTTATGAAGGCAATTCTCTAATTTTTTAACCCTGTCAATCTAGAAATATGTGATAGTGTGCCCTATTACCGTGTCCTGTCATTTGTCAAGTATTTCTTCAAATACATCCCTTAGGCACCGAAATCTAACTTTGTGACTGAAGGAAATGGTGACTCTAAGTGTGCTATAACTTGAGTCCCTTAGATAATATTTGATTAATGCCTGTATCAGTGTAAAAAAAAAAAACCAGTCATTTTAGTATTACTTTTTCACGTTCTTCTGAAATACATGGGTTAATGAAATTTAGCTTCAGAAATGATCACAGCAAACTTGATCTTGTACTCTGAACACTCTTTCCTCCATTACAGCTTCTCATAATAATTAGAAATATATTTAAATTATTGGGTTGAGGAATCCATGTCATTCATTCATTGAAGAAATGTTTTTTGAGTGTTTACTATGTGTCAAGAGCAAAAATATCTGCTTTCGTTCCAATTGGGTAGCCAGATAATAAACAATTGCAATCAGTAAATATTTACTATGTCGTTTTGTAAGTGCTGCGAAGAAAAATAAAGCAAGGAAGGGGTAAAAGCTTGTGGGGGTAACAGTGCGTAGAAATTTAAAACTGGATGATGTATTAGTTAGCTCTTGTTGTGTAATAAACCAACCACAAAATGCAGTGGCTTAAAATGGTAGTGTTTTTATTGCGGTCATGTTTATGGGTCAGTTGATTAGTTCTGTTAATATGGGCCAGACTTGATTGATCTTGCGTGGCTTGCTTGTGTATTTAAAGTCAGCTGACAGGTCAACAGGGTGCTAGGTGATATAGAAAGGCTCACATTTCTTTCATCTCTTTCACATGTCTGTAGTTGGCTGAGCATCAACTGGGGGTCTCTGGGAGACTAGACCTCATGTCTCTCATCAATGGGCAGACTAATCTCAATTCCCTATGACAGTTGGCAGGTCCCAGGAGAAAAAGTAAAACTACATAAGGCATCTTGAAGCCTAGACTCAGTACTTTCACAATGTCCCATTTGATGCATTCTATTGGTGAAGTAGAGGGTAAATAGGCCCCATCTGTTGATAGGAGGAACTAGAAAGTTATATTGCAAAAAGTGTAGATATAGGGAGGGAAGGGGTATCCCCCTTAAGAATGGGGGATATATTTTTGCAATCAATCTACTATAGATGGCCATGGAAGGCTGCACTGAGAAGGTGTGACTTAATCAAAGTCTTAATGTGGTGAGGAAATGAGCCATAGAAATATCTCCAGGCAATAGAGTTTTAATTAGAGGAAACTTCACATTTCTGAGGTAGAAACATGACGAGCATGTTGAAGAAATAGAAGGAAGCCAATGTGGCTAACGTGGGAGAGTAGTGGAAATGAGATCAAAGAAATAATGAGTAGGCCACATTGTGTAGGATTTTGTTGACTGCCCTAAGGATTTGGGTATTTTTTGCATGACATGGTAAGTGGGATAGTTTTGAATAGAGGAGGACATGATTTGATACATGGTTTCACAGGATCTCTCTGTTAGGGACAATAGCTATCATCCAGGCTAGAGATGATGACAGCTTTGGACTATGGCAGTAACAGTAGAAGAGGTGAGGAGTGGTATATTTTGAAGATAGAGATAACAATATGCTGATGGTTTTAACAAGGAGTGTGATAGAAAGAGAGGTGTCAAGATGCCTGCAGGGTTTTTCTCTGAGAACTAAAAGGGGGAGTTGCCATTTCTTTAGATACAGAAAACTGTGTGAATAGTAGTGGGGAGTAAGATCAGGATTTTGGTTTTGGACATTTTAAATTTGAGGTACATATTAAACGTCTGTGTGTGGTTGTCAAGTAGACCATTGGATATATGAGTCTAGAGTTCTGTTGAGAGAACTGGGCTGGATATTGAAATATTATAACCAATGGAATGAGTGTGGAATAACATTTCATGAAATATTTTAATGTATTTATATTGTCCCTATATTTATCACTTCATGGCTGTACAATATTCTTTTTTGTTTACATATCATAGTTTATAAATTTATGCTCTTAATTCTGGACATTTAAATAGTAATTTATTATTATTTTTTCTATTATAAAATGTTGAATTAATAAAATGACATGGCTTTGTTGACTTATTTTACTAAGATTAATTTCTAGTGCCATGAGAGAAAATAAGAAGGGTCAGCCTTCCATTGAAACATATGTGCATAAATTATATGCATAATCTAATTCTACTTATGTAGAATTATATGCATATATTAATTATATGCATAAATTAATTCTGAATATATTAATGCAGAATTATATGCATATAATTATATGTATAAATTATATGCATAAATTAATTCTGTTTTATGAATTTTATTTGTTTGGGCATAAAGTTTAGATATGGCAATTCTCATTCCACTTTTGGTAAGAAAAATCTAAAGCATATAAACTCTAAATCCTATATGCTTACTCTCACAAAATCCCAAATATCCTGTTGGGGTGCATCATAGTTTAAATTACGGGTGAAATACATAGTCACGCAACTAGTGAGGTTAAGATCGACATTTAACTCGACTTTTTGAAGTTTGAAGCTGAGAGGAACAGAGTCAGATATTTCTTTGTGAATCTGCTGATTTTGAACATTTTGATTCACTCAATTAAAGCTTCCCCTGATTCATTCTCTGCATACAATGAATGATCGAGAGAGTAGCAAACTGTTAAGTGGAAGTATCAACAGGATGAACATGGTCTCACAGTTACACTAGCAGGAACAGTCACCCAGTTTTTGAGATTTCTAACATCTTAGTAATGTGAAAAGAGCCTTTGAGAACTGTTTATGTTTCAGTGGAAGGCTGGCCCTTAGGAGTTTTTGAACGTCCTGAGCTGTTGTCAGAAAATGTTATTTCTGGGCACTGATTGAACAGTATCAATGAAATTTATTGAGAAAGTTTACCATTGAGGCCAATATATGATTGATTAACTTAGCTAAGAGTCAGTGAAGAAATTGGAATTGCCTGCTCTTCTGTTTTCTGTTATTTCACATCAATATTCCTGATTAAAATTTCTAGGCAGTGAGGAATTTCCAAGGTCTTGGAAAGAGGAAAAGTTATAGAGGTGAAATCAGTATTTGAGGCCACTTTCCTACTGGAATATCTCCCAAGTCCAGAAAAAGCAACTGAGGGGCAGTGAAGCTGGGCAGAGGTTTTGACAATATCATGAGGCTAGATGGACAAAAAATTGGAGTTTGGGGTTTGTGAAGGAAGAGAGCACTAATAAACAATCCCAAAGGGCTGCATCCAAGGGGTAAGGGTAAACCAGAAAAAGATCAGCCCTTGCAGAGACTGAAAGAAATCTAGTTATCTAAATTCCTAAAATTGAATTAAAATAATATAGGACTACTAGCAGTCTGAATTGCTGTGAAAATCTGAAAGATAATATCATCCCAGCCTCAAATTATTTACATAATTTTTTATATAATGTGTTCAGGAATCAATGAAAAATAACTAAGTGCATGAGGAGAAAAGACAGCATGATTGAAAACTAAGAGCAACAACTTATAGTAGAAGCATAAGATTCAGATAATGGAGTTATATTTTAATAATAATACTAAATATACTTAAATGTTTAAGAGATGAAAGACAAGACTAATACTTTCAAGAGAATTGGAAACAATAATGGAGAATAAAGTGGAAATTCTTTCTATAAAACAATTAGAATAGTATTTACTTAAGTTACTGGACGTGAGTACAATAAACATTTGAATGAAAATATATAATATAATTATACTGGTAGGTCTTTATAAAGATATTGGCTATGTGGCACATTTTCCATCTCACCAGTTTGGTCTCACTTCATTTTTTAATTTTAATTTAATTTTTTTATTGATGTCATAATAGTTTATGACATTGTGAAATTTCAGTTGTACATTATTATTTGTCAGTCAACATATATATGTGCCCATTTACCCCTTATGCCCAACCCCCAATGCCCTTCCCCTCTGGTAACCAGGAATCTGTTCCTTTCTCCGTGTATTTATTTATCTTCCATATATGAGTGAAATAATATGGTATTTGTCTTTCTCTGTCTGGCTTATCTCACTTAACATAATACCCTCAAGTTCCATCCGTGCTGTTGCAAATGGGACAATTTTGTCTTTTTTATGGCCAAGTAGTATTCCATTGTATATACATACCACATCTTCTTCTTTTTTATTAATTTATTTTTTTATTGCAGTAACATTGGTTTATAACATTGTATACATTTCAGGTGTTCATCATTATACTTCTATTTCTGCATAGATTACATCATGTTCACCACACAAATACTAATTACAGTGCATCACCACACACATGTGCCTAGTCATCTCTTTCACCCTCCTCCCTCCCCCATTCTCCTCTGGTAACCACCAATCCAATCTCTGTCTCTATGTGTTAGTTTGTTGTTGTTTTTATCTTCTGTTTATGAGTGAGATCATATGGTATTTGACTCTTTTCCACTGACTTATTTCACTTAGCA